AACAATGCAGTTAAATTCCCACCATGAAGGCAAATGTGTTCTCAAATCTCTCGTCTCACAGAGAGATTGTGTCCCTTGTCATCATGTACTGGAAAGATGTCCCATGTTGAATTCCTTTTGTCTTTCCTCAATATTTTTTATTGGCTTATTGGAGATACCAGTTTCATTTCAGTGTATATGTGTATGTGTATGTGTGTGTATATGTATATGTGTATATATGTGTGCATTAGAGAGTAGGATCTAGACAAGTTGGAGAGAAAGGGTCAATGAACTCCACACATTAATGTCATAGAGCAATTGTCACCTTTAGGCATCGTTGTTTTACTCCTAAGAGGCAACAGAAATTGATTTACCATTTCTACTTGTCAAATTTATAAAATAGAAGAGTTGGGTTAGGGTTTTGCTGCACCACAGAGATGAGAAAATTTTATTCTATTTTGGTGTGAGTTTATTAGGACCAAGTGAGGTTTAGTAGGAATGTTTGCTCATCCCCAAGGCACTCCAAGAACTGCTTTCATTTCTGAACAAAGGTTAAAAATTGTACATAACAATGTCTCTGTTAAAACCTTCAGATTATATTTCTAGGATTCAAATTCTTAAATTATCAGATGGGCCGAAATTCTTTAAATTATTATTGAGGATAATGCATTTGTGCATTATGAAGCAGAAAATTAAAAATGTAAAGTTAAACCACTCTTAAAACTTACATTTTTAAAGTAACTGTTTATATAAAGTGAGATGCAAAATTTATTGTTGACGTTTTAATAATTTGGGGATTACATAAATTATTTTGCCCTGTTTTTTAATATGGAAAAGAATGCCTCTCTATATGTTATTTCAAATTAAAAGACCATTTTTTCACTATAAAGGGGAGAGTGTAAATCTATTATTTTTGTTTGTTTGTTACTTTGCCATTAAAAAATTACAGCACAGTCCAGAGGGATAGTGACCATGGAAGAGTTCTCCAATACGCAGGCAGCCTTAGAGTGTTACCCATACAGAGGAGCATTTGTGATAATTAACACATCTGTCAGCCTAAGAAAACATCTAACAAAGCCAGACTTTGCAGTGTAATTTATATGAAATAATATATTTTTATCAAAAGCTGTTCTAGAGCAACACACCCAAAACTATATAAATAACTACAGAAACCACAACCTCTGGATCTCTCTTAGCTTTGGACACACTTAACAGGAAAACTGTCACTGGCTCTTTCACAGCCATGTGTCACCTGATTTGATATATGACCATTAAAAAAAAAAAATCTCCCTTCCGCTCAAAGGAATATTTGGCTCCAGGGACTCATTATCAAGTCTGGAAGGTCTTTGGAAAGCCACCTTTCCTCTACAAAAGTTTAGGGATAGCAGACAAATATAAAATTTTAAACACTATGCCCCAAATCCAGTATATGGAATAAAATATACCTCTGGAGATGTTCTTTGTAACAAATATGTCTTCTTTAAGGTTCACATATTTCCATCGGGTGCTGACACCCCAGAATAAGTCTGCTATTGTTGCTTTTATAACAACACCATTGGTGCTGGGGCAAGTGTACCCAGGTTGATGGGTGGATGGTTTTTTCTTGTAACTCAGGCCAAGTTTCAGGCCTGGGGGAGCTGTTTTCCTTTCACTTAAGAAACAGAGTCCTTCAATCTGCTTGCATTACTTTTGTTGTGATACACCCTTTAAAAGCTCCCTGATGAAACTGTGGCCAGAGGCTGGGATCTTCTGGGAACAGCATCCTGTGTTGAAAATAGTCTCTGTTCACCTGTTCACTAAGGGACTGCAGTGCTATCGTCTTGGAATGGATTTTAGGATTCTGCTGCAATAACATGAGTTACAAATTGTGCACCTACACAATTTCTAGTGGCGATGAAATACAAAGTGTTTTATTTCATCATCTATGTAACATTGTTGATGGTGTGCCCACAATTCAAATGCTACTTAACAGACATTGCTTAGCATAAAACTATGCTGTGGCTTCATTAGAAATTATTCCTCAGACCTGCCTTGTGCTAGAGCCCATCTTTTATTCATTCATTTTATTATGATTTGTTTAAAGTACACCAAGGCTGGGAGTGACCTCCAAATCCCGAGTGGCCAAGTAGGTCTAACCGGATGCCTTCTCCCCTGACTTACCCAGCAGGGTCCCCAGTGCGGGGAGCTGGAAGAAGGTGCGCAGTGGAAACCGCTTCCCTTCCTCTTTGTGCAGACCCCTGTCAGCTCACCTGGCTGTCCAGCGCCTTGCTGGGTGGATTAGCTGGGCTGCTGTGCAGTTCCTTAATTTTCAGCCACCACCTAATCCCGTTAACATCCTGGCCCTGCCATTTATTGCTTTTCGGTGTTTGGTTTTTTTCTGCCTCTGTGTAGAATTATGTGTCTCTTTTTATATCCTGGTGGGTGAGTGCTGGGAATCCTGAATATCCTGACTTCGAAGGAACTGTATTGACCTGATAGCTTCGATCTTCTAATTTTACAGAAGATCTAAATGAGTATAAGAAAAATTAAGCTGCCCAATATCGAAACACCTGCTTAGCTTTGGAAAAAGGATTTGCAGCTCAGGTCTTTAAACTCATATTGCTTGTCTTGCTAGGATTTGAAAGCCTTGATGTTTTCACCTATTTATGCATTCATTAATATAGGTGCAGCATAGAGCGGTGTCCAAGAGGATGGGCTCTCCAGTCAGACTGCCCAGGTCAAATCGGTCTCTATGTGTTAATTTGTGGGCCAAGTTCAAGTTTTTTAACTGCTCTGTTACTGTTTTATGTGTAAAATGGGTGTAATAATAGCATCTCCTTCACAGAACAATTGCACAGGTACAGAACATACAACACTATGTGAAACATAGTTAATTTTCAGTAAAGGTTAGTTGATATTTAATGGCTAATTCATTCAAACTGAAATATATACTTGGTACCTACCATATGCCAGATACAGCAGGTCCTTGAATAACATCATTTTATTCAATGTTGTTTTATTATAATGTGATTAAGGGCCCTAGGAACTTAAGCTTCATTTATAGTAATTAGCTTGTGGCCAAATTGGTTTTGATAAACATTGTTTCTTAGCAGTTCCAGGAGCTTATTGACAAAGTTAAGTGAGGACTTGCTGCAGAAGGCATCCTTGCCACTGTCATAGCCCATCTTCACCCCACCCAGAAAAGAGTGACAAATAATATATACGTACATCTACAATATAATTGTTACAACTACCATTAATAATACGATTTACTTAATAAAGGATTTGAAGTCAAGAGAGGGAAGAATGGCAAGGGTCTAGTGGACAGAAATAGATCACGGCGGCCTGTTAAGTTTGTGACGATCATAGTAAAATCCTGGATTTTAGCATCTCACTTGGCAACTTTGAAATATACAATACAATAATGTTAACTATAGTCACCATGCTGTACGTTAGATCCCCAGCGTGCAGTGAGAAGGCTTTACATTTTTAATTACAGATATTTCTACTACAGTGTGATATGAGTTCCTAAAAACCTTTGCATCATGCAGAATTCACATTAAAATAGAAGCATTCATGATAGAAGTTAAGATTCTGTGCAGATCCCACTAATAAATATACACTCCCCATCTCACATCCTACCTTAAGCTTGGGGAATTGCTTCCACGTTAAATGTTGATATTTGAATATTCGTGAAGAGCACATTGTACTTTTCATTCTGTTATATGTGACTGGATAAACTGGATAATATTGAACTGAATTGCAGCTGACATGTGGACAAAATGCCATGTTTTATAGACATTTAATTGAACATGTATTGATTTTGATTTTAGCTCTCTTATTTTGAAAGAATTATATGTAATTTCTGGCCTCCAACATTTTTGGCCCTTGGAAACCTCATAGGCTGTGGGCATTGTGCCCCTAGTGCCAAATGTGTGAAATCACCTGGCAATCAGGTCACGTTTCCCCCACCTGCTTGCAAAACACAGGGATGCTCCTATTCCTGTAGCTCTCAGTGTACCTGTCACACTTGACAGGTTTTACCAACTTTAATTCGCTAACTAATGTTTTGCCATCAGGATACTCTGTTTGCTTATTTTCACAGCATTGTTAAATCATCCTTCATCTATTCATTTGACTGTTAATTTGTTTCCTGTTTTTGATTTAACAGAGGCAAGGTTGTGTCTCTTTTCTTGTGTACTGTATAACAAATGACCTAGTACATTGTAGATACTCAGTGAACTTTAGATAAATGAATGGGGAAAAATGTTTGCTGTAAAAAGAAATTTAAAGCTTATTTTACCTAAATGCAGAGTAGAGGCTGTCCTTCTAGTAGGGATCCAATGTTGCTCTGAGCTGGACACAATCTACAAAATAATTCCCACTTATCTGGAGTTTCTGGTATGCCAAGGCAAGAGAAGCATTTGTTTTAACTTAAAACCTATAAAGCCACCTGGCAGCTTATTAATGATTTATAATTAATTAAGATCATTTACTTTTACCTTTAGTTATTTATCTTGTTTGTTTCCTAGATGGTCTTATTCATTGTATTATCTACTAGGGACATTTTTTGCCTTTTAAAAATTTTCTTTTTTTCTTATTTCTCTAAATGTGTGGTTCTCAATCGTGGCCTGTTTGTTTCCTCCCAGGGGATATTTGACAGTATCTGTAGATATTTGTGGTTGTCACAACTGGGTGTGGGGAGGATGCTACTTTGTTATCTATTGACCAGAAGAAAGGAGATGCTTCCAAAAAAAATCACAAAATGGACAAGGTCGCTCCCCAGCCGCAGAGAATCATCCAACCGAAAATGCCCGTAGTGCTGAGGCTGCAAAACCTTCCTTCAGTTCACGTTAGAATCAGTGTTTTATCCTTGAAATGACTATTCAATTTAAAAAAACGATTCCTTCTGTCTACGATACCCCTTTCGTGTCATTGTCACTAACGCTCTTTCCAGTCTGGAAAAAGTGTATCGACGTTAACAGGTTGAACAGCAGTGAGCATGTATCAAGATGCATTTTTAAAAGTCCCTGTTTCCTCAGATGTTGCCAGATGTAACGAGCGTTGTGACGGCTGTCGCGCCCTTCCGCCAATGTAGCCCATCTTTCTCCATCTGTCTCACAGGCCCCTGTGGATGGGATGTAGCGCCGCAGAGGCCCTTCCGCGGGGACCGCTGCCCGCGCCGCCAGCGGGGCAGTAGAGCAGCGGCCTCC